CCTCCTTGATCTCTTCTAGAGTAAAGCTTCTTTCCAACCTTCTCCTGTTCTCCACCCCTACATCTGGCCAGTCCAAACCTTCTACCCACACCCTTCTAATCACAAGCCTTCTTAGAATATATTTGAAGTGCTCCACATAGGCCCTGGCAATCTCTTCTTGTTATACTAACTCGACTCCATCTACTACCAATTTGGAGATAAAGTTCTTCTTTCTCCTGCCATCTACTAGAGAATGGAAATACCTAGTGTTTCTGTCTCCCTCTTGCAACCACTTACACCGAGATTTTTGCCTCCAACTAATTTCCTCCTTGTGCAGACAATCCTCTAGCTGTCTTCTCAAATTCTCTTGAGATCATTGTGCTTGTGCATTATATTTTGCATGAGCCTCTGAATGTTTCCCTAACCCTTGCCTTGAGATGATCCTCAACACATAAGCTTCTCATGCCTTTTAAAACATTGGATTATAAAAGTTGTACCAATAATTTTACCACCTTCCTCAACTCTTCTAGTTTGGAAGTTGGTTAAGTTTTATATAGATGTTGGTTCTTAGATTGATTTCTAATCAGATCTTATAAACTTGCAGCTTTGTTACCAATAAGGGGAACACCTTTTTCTGTGTTTATAGTTATCTTGTCTCTACTTAGAACACTGGAATTCAAGTATAAGTGATGGGATTAAGTTGTTGGGTAAAGATGCCTGAGCAATTATCATCCAAAGTAATGGAGTTTATGATTTATGACCCCAACTTCTTATGTATTTTATTATCTTGTTGCTATGGTTCCAGCTTATTTTATGTTTTCTGAAAACTTTCACTTTATATTATATACAATTTGGTAAATTATGGCTCCTGCATAAGGATTCTTCTTTCGTCATAAGTCATGACTAATCATATTTTTATTTTCTTTACATGCATTTCAAACTCTTCTTGTGTAGGATCCTATTGTTACTAGAATAGAGGACAAGATTGCAGCATGGACCTTTCTTCCCAAAGGTGTATTATCAGACGAACTTTTGGTTTGACTCTGTATTCTGAATTATTATTTAGAATTCTTCTTCCAGTTATTTTTCTTGAAGATAAATAAAAAAGAAAAATTATTATGAAAGAAGAGAAGAAGATTACAAAAAGGTGATGTGACATCACCCACCAAGAACAAATGAAAACAAACACCAAAAATCTCCCATTACACCCCAAAAACCACAATCCAAACCCAACTAAAAAAACCTCAAAACAACGCACAACCAGACCCAGAATGATGCAAACCCAATCTTGAACATAACCCCTAAACCACCAAACCTGACAAAAACATGCAGAACTCTCCAGCCCAACAACCAAGACTAGACAGTCATCCAAAAGACTAAGACCCCCTTCCCACTACAAAAACACTTTGCCCAATACTTTCTTAGTCTTCTTAGCCCTCTTGTTAAGCCCAACCCCAAATAATCCTCCCTTCAATATAGAAAAAATCTTTGAAACTGGAACATTCTGATTGATTTTTCGGTGTTCGAATCTTCTTACTGTGTTAGGAAGAAAAACATATTCCTCTTTTTATCATTTATCCCTTCTAACTCTAATACCGTGTTCTTCTCAAAAACTTGCTCTGCTTCCACCTCATTTCAGAACATCCCCATCAAATTCTTCTTCCAGTTAAAGATTATATAAGCTTCCAAATTGTAGAGTATTATTTGTTGGAATGCCACTTGTTCAGTTCATATCATCATGTTAGAATATTCAACACTTTGTATTTATTTCAATTCTGTCACTTTTCACTAGAGTAATTCCTTAGCATCTTTGGAAAAAAAAATATTGGTTTTCTATTGTTTTTGGTTGGGGAAGGGGGGAGGAGTAATTTGGGAATCCTGTTCCTCTTTAATATGGGTGCATTGCTAGTTAATAGTCAAAAAGAATTCTTGGGAAACCAAAAATATGTTGTGCAGAAGTGTGGCTGTGGGGATTGATAGCAGTGGCACCAAAAGAAAGAGAAAAGTATGCGCAAGGATCTTGCATGGTTCAGCGGGATACCAACAATCCACCAGCAAAAATTGTCAAAATAATTCACCAATGTATGAGGTTACAATGAATCCCAAATGTGAACAAGCCAAAAATTTCCAAAGAAATATTTATCAAAAGAAAAAATCCAAAGAAACATACTCTGAAAAGCCACTATCTTACCAAGTGACATACTCTTCTGAGTTCTGACACCAATCTCATAAAAGGATCTGATAGGAATTGATCAGCACCCTTGAAGACTTATTCTAGAAAGAAGGCCTTACAACAGGTCCTGATATGGCATAATGATGGTACTTGGGATTTGGACTGAATTGAACACCAAGGGTATTTTTGCCATTTGACAATTTTTTGTAGGGTCCAATAATAGGGTTTGATTGCCTATTTATAGTTTGTTTATGTTTAAAATTTTAGAGTCATTGTATAACTAGGATTAGAGTTATTGAGTCTTCATTGAATGAAGTATAAGATATGACAACTTAGTTTGAGTCCTACTAGGATTATTGAGTCTAACATTTAGACTCCTAAAATTATTATGAGTTTAGAGTCTATAAATATGTATAGACTATAGACATTTTACACAAAGAGCAATGAAGTTTATTGAGTTTTTTTCAGCTTATGCTAACTATTGTGAGTGACTCCCATGCCCTGAAGTGATTCTAGGCACCCTGTGACTGATTCTAGGTATTTTCTCTCTTCTTTCTCTCCCTACTTTCTCTTTTATTCCTTCAAGAAGCCATTACATCCATCAACAGCCATAGAATTTTGATCAAAGAAGACCATTTAACATTCTCTAAGGACTAGAACTGAGCTGGTCCTACATCAGTTTGGCATCAGAGCCAAGGTTATAGGCTGTTATCATCATGGCTACACGTAGTGGCAAGCAGTACAGGGGTCGGCTGATTGATACACAGAGATTCATTGATTTTCACCCTTTGCAAGAGAGTTGAAACTATTGAAGCACAAGTAAAAGAACTTCAAGAAGCTAAAGAAGAAGAAATCCACCAAGAAGCACCCATAATCAATGAAAGGGATGGAAGACGAAACAAGGGATCTGTCCATGAAGATGGTATTGCTGAATATAAAGAATCTATTAATCTTAGAGGGTGACAAAGAGCTGCAAACTACACAAGAGTACTAGTGTACCACTTGCACAAGCTAATCGAGCTCAAAATACCCATCTTTTTCATGTTGGTTATGCAGATGATATAACCAAGAAGGTAAAGGTGGATGTTTCTAATTTCAATGGAGATTTAGGTTCTCAATCTTTTTCAGATTGGTTGGTTGCACTGGAGGAATACTTTGATTTGTATGACATGATTGATAATCGGAGGATCAGATTTGCACATATGAAGTTTGGTGGTCAAGATAAAGTATGGTGGAAAAGCATGGAGCGACGATTGGAGGAGGTGATGGTCCTATTTCTACATGGTCAGAAATGAAGAAACATTTGAGGGACAAGTACCTCCCAATGGACATCCAAGATGAGTTATATGAGGAATTGACTAACCTCAAGCAAGGTATGTACTTTGTAGTTGAATACATGCACAAATTTGATGGATTATCTATTAGATGTGATACTACTGAAAGTGAGAGGCAAAAGTTGGCTCGATTCAAGAATGGACTAAGGGCTGAAATCAAGAAAGAGATGGTAACTGCTCGAGTCTTTGACTTGGAGGATGCCTACCAAGTTGCTATCAAAATTGAGAAGAGTTTAAAACAAACAATTAAAAGGCAATTTGTATCACAAGTTGGGGAGTATGCAGCTCGTAAGCAAGCTGATGGGGGAAAGATTTCTAGGCCGGCATATTCTAATGCCGTCTCTAATAAACCTAGTGGGTCTAGACCTTATCAAGGGGCTGACTATAAGAGTAGATCGGTTTCTAGTGGTGTTACTCAGGAAAAAACAGCTTGATACTAGTTGCTTTAGATGTGGAAGAAAGGGCCATATGGCTTACCAATGTTCTACCAAAAGCCTTAATATCATTTATAAAAAAGGCATTGAAGCGGTAGACGACCTAGGTGATGACTTAGCTGAAGAAAGAGGATTATTCCTTCACTAATAATGATGCTTTAGATGAAAACAACAACTTGTTGGTGTAGTTCGGCATATTCTTGCATCCTTGAAGGAAGAAATCAAGGAAGATTGGCTTCGTACAGTAATATTTCAAACTATAGTGAGTAGTGGAGACAAACGTTGTAAGCTTATCATAGACAGTGAAAGTAGTATGAATGTGGTTTCTAAAGGCACTATGGATTGACTAAAGTTGACACCAAAACCACATCCACAACCATATAAGATTGTTTGGGTTCATAAGTCAACCATTCTGGTAACTAAATGAGCCCTCATTACTATTTCTTATGGTAGTTATTCCGATTCTATTGGGTGTGACATTGTTCTTATGAATGTTACACACACATTGCTTGGAAAGCCTTGGTTGTATGATAGGGATATACCATTGTGGAAGGGAGAACACCTATCACTTCCTATTTAATGGGAAGAAAGTTATCATGAAGCCAATGTCACCGAAGGTTGTTCCACCTATCACTTCTTATTTACACACATTGCTTTATTTAAGCAACCAGATGTTGTTCCACCTATTGAAATGCCTAAAGAACTGGTCCAAGTGTTGGATGAGTTTTCAAGTTTGGCACTAGAAGAGCTACCTAATGAGTTACCTCCCATGAGAGATGTTAACAGCTGTTATTTTTTCCTATGTATAGTACCGCAGGGTACTATTGTACTTTTGCTCCTTTTTATTTTAGTTGCTGTCGCCCTAGTATATATATTAAAAAGCTGCGCCGCCAGCAGTAATCTTTTTGCTCTCAGTTCTCTCTTCTCTCTTCTACTCTCTCTTTTCTCTCTTCTTTCATTCTTCTCTCCTGCATAACATGGTATTAGAGCAGGACTACCAGATTTGAAAGGAGAAGTCGAGCGAACAGTCTTTTTTCTTCTTCGCACGAGATTTCCAGATCTGCCGCCCTCACACATTGAAGTAACCGTTCTCTCTCTCTCTTACCTTTTTTTCTGGTCGTGTGCCAGGGCAGAACCTGTACTAGGTCTGCCGATTGGATGTGAGGTGATCAGCACCTCTTCCTTTCCTTTTTTGTGGGGTCGACTGATCCCTATGAAACTGTAGGCCGTGAGGACCTATTTTATGTGCTGCAACAGCAGCTTTTATGGTGAATTGTGGGTCAGAAAGTGACCAGTACCTCTTGTGTGTTGCAACAACTGCTTTTATGGTGAACTGAAGGTTAGAAAGTGACCAGTACTTGCTGTAACAGTAGTCCTGTTGATGCGTATGTCAAGAGATGACCTGTATGCACTATGGCAACACTTGTGTTGAACTTGTAAGTTAAGGGATGACTTGTTAGTGCTGTAACAGCACCTGTAACAACACTTTAAGGTTGTGTACCCCATTTAAGAGTTGTTTTTGAATCTGAAATCATGAGTGGTGAAGATTCTGCTACATCCGGTGTTTCCTCAATGTTGAATGGAATGAGTGGGGTGTAGACCTATCATTTCCCATGTCTGTTATCCCTCTTGATGGTTTAAATTATTTAGAGTGGCCAAGAGGGATCAAGCTATACACCACTACAAGGGAAAAGATATATTAATGGGAGAATCAAAGAACCACATTCTGGGAGTGTTGAATATGACAGATGGAACTAGGAAAACAGCATGGTCATGTCTTGGCTTTTAGTTTCTATGCAACCTAAAATAAGAAGGAATTTCATGTGGGCTGAAACGGCAAATGAGATCTGGGAACAAGCAAAATCAACATATTCGGAACTGCGACACTATGCAAAAATCTACCAACTACAGGCAGAATCGTCTACTTGTAAACAGGGGGAGAGGTGTCTATCTGTGTACTACTTAGACTTGACCTCTGTCTGGAAGGAGTTAGATCATTATCAGTGTGGACTGGATGTGTGATGAAGATGCAAAACTGTACAAAAAACTCGTCTCYCAGCAGAGAGTGTTT